AATTGGTATATAAATTCTCAATAATCACAGCATTCCGACTGTACATTTTCGCCCATATGATGTCAAATATTAGCTCATTATCCTCACTAGAGATGGGCAAAGTCAGTTACATATTATTACTTAATATTACTTAATATTACTGTGAAATAGTTAATAATAAGTAATTTTATAATAATTTGATTCTTAGCAGCAATTTTTTCGTTCAATCTCAATTTTAACCGACTGTTATCATGTGCTTTATATGTATACATAATAAATAATAGAATGTAATAAATATTTAATATTATTTAATATTAAGTAAGAGATAAGTCATAGGTCATTATTACTTACAAAATTACTTTGCCCATCTCTAATCCTCACTAATTATTTATTTAAAACTGGACGTTAAGGGTAAACTGCCCATTTATGCAATCGCTATTCCGAATACATAAGTAATTATTTACAAAATGTAGCTATTGTCAATTATAACATAAATTGGCGTATTGCCGCATTGCATTTTAATGAGGAATCATGGACGCGAAAACTTAGAATTAATTTTCATGTGTTTTTTTTAAAAAATTCGATTTACTTTAATTTCTCCATTTATTTTAAATTGTCACAAATATAAAACGTTTATTGTATAAAGTAAAAAAAAATTTATTAGATAGTTTATATTAATTAGCAGCTAAGTAAAAATAAATAGGTTTATTTGCCGTAATACGAATTTTGCAAAACAATAAGTTTCTTTTTCTAGGATTATTTAAGTACAAAACGTTTAACATTTACAATGAATTTTTTTGTTTAGATTATGACTCACCTTAAAATTTTACTAATAATTTGTTTTATGGATGACATTGAAAACTTTAATCTCAATAATATACGATAATTATTCAGCCAATAAATTTACAACATCTGCTAACATCTAATTCGTTATTTTTTATTTTATTTTTTTTTTACAAAATTGACCTCGAATTCAAGGCTCTGCTATTTTTTTAAATCGTTTGAACCTATAATTATTCATTTAGATTAAATAATTTTCTTTTACAGTTTAATTTATTTAATCGTTTTAATATAATAAACTTTTTAAATTTTGTGATTTACTATACGTGCATGTTTTACGTACGTACGTACAGTGTGTGCATATTTTGTCATTATTGCTTAATATGGTATAATTAAATTGTTATTGTTTCTCGAAATGGGTATAGCGATATGAAGTCGGTTAATAATTTCCTTGACTCTTGACGTTATTTCAAAACAAAAAGTATATAAATAAGCAAAAAAATCTCGTTAGAAATTTTATTAAAATATTTTTTAAAAAATAACTTTAAACATTCGACGATAATAATTCTACGATATCAATTTCCGAATAACAATTCCTCATTCAACGTAATTTTATAATTTTTTATTTATTCAAGAATTTTAATAATGTATAATTAAATGTATTTCTAATTGCATTTTATTTTATGTTAACAGTAAAAAAACTTAAATTCAATTTTCCAAAATGAATAAAACAACCGCAATCTTTTTTTTCGTTTTATTCTTATCAATTGCAAATATTGCCGATGCCGGCCCAATCACTTATATTCTTTGCCAAACTGCGTGCAACGCAGGATGGGTTTCGTGCTATGCTGCAGCCGGATTGGTGGCTGGTAAGGTGTTTTTTAGAAATTAAGCAAATGTTTGCTTTAATATTTAATACTGAAGTAATTTTTTGCATATTCATAAAGGAACTGTAACTGGAGGGCTTGGTGCGCCTGCTGCAGCAATATTATGCAATGTTGCCCAAGGAGCTTGTATGGCGGCTTGCGCCGCAAGCTTTTTAACCCCAACACCATAGATTAGTCTTTCTTTAATAACATTCGTTTATATTATTTCAATATTTTCGTAACCCATATGACATCAATGCCATATAGAGACATATGTATTTAATCATCGTTTCTTTATTATATTTGTCTCTTTTTTTTCTTTATTACATATGTCATTTTCATCTTTTATTTATTCAATATTATTAACTAATACTTTATAAATATTGTTGATGGTATTTTATATTGAAATATTTTTTATCTTTTCATATATCAGATAACGTATTTTTACAATGTACCTAGTATGTAAAAATTTGTTAAATATATGTTAAATAAAATTTCATTCTGATAAATTGGTTGAATTTATCATTTAATGAACGTAAAGATAGTTACGTCATTCTTTTCTTCATCGGTTTGTAGTATTCAGTTAAAATTTTTCATCCACTTCGATTTTTAACATCTTTTCGTTAGAACCCACTTTATCTCCACTCTTTTTATTTACTCCTTAAATTATCAAAACGATCATTTCAGCATCTATAGTAGTTCACGCTAAGAATAAGTAGTTGCATTTTACATTTACTTTTATTAACGAATACATAGTGGTAAAGAATATAAGTTATATTTCACTTTTAAAAAACGTGATTTTCACGTTATTGCGATCTAATTGACCATAGGGAATTTCTTGTGCTTGGACATAACACTGACTAACATTACCAAATCAACGTGCCTAACTTTAAATCTAATGCTGGCCATAACGTGTATATTAGTTATACAAAGTTCATGACACTGTGAAATATCTAAATGAAAACTTAAATGAATATTTTAAGTTTTCGTCGTAGCGGATTTATTCCTGATATTCACTTAAAGGTTCCTGATATTCACTTAAAGGTTCCTGACATTCAGTTAAAGGTTCTCATTATGTAGCACAAATATATAGTATATGACGGCTTATAATGCCCCATAAGATTTCTGGCTAAAGCTTTCTGATGATGCATCGGTTGTGCGATTAGGGATGGAATCGGCTTATTAAAGTTTTATAAAATTAAATCATATAAAACATTTAACTAAATTTTATTAGATGATCATTTTACTCTATTGTGCTTAAAAATGATGATTTTTATAATTTTTACTAGATTTACTATTTCTACTATTTTTATAATTTCTATTAGATTTACTATTTCTATTAGATTTACTATTTCTATTATATAAAGTGCTGTCAATTAAAAAAGCTTATTTTATATATAATTTATTTTGAGATAATTGAATTTAATTATTTGTTTTGATTTTCAAACTGACTGATTTAGAATTAATAAATTTTATAATTTTGATTAGTTAAATATAACAGGTAAATATTAGATAATATTATAATATATTTAGCTTTAGATTACTTTGAATAATTTTGTTTTTACATTATTTTTATTTTTTATTATACAAATTAATTTTATTTATAATTAAAAAATATTAATTATATCAAAATTTATATAAATCTAATAAAAACTTATTTT